TGTTCATCCAGCCCTGCACCTTGTTGTCTCGGATTCACCAGCATCTGCAGTTCCTACTATCTCAGGTTTATTCCTCGTTTAGCACTAATCTCTAAGGCAGTTTCATGGCAGTAATTGGGGGTGGATACTGAGCAGGAGAATAGAGAGAGAGGTCTGAAAGGACCTTTTCACTGTACCACTATCTATTGCCTAGATTATACGGTACATGAACAAAAATGTCTTGCTGTATTGTATGGTGTCTTGGTGAGACCTCATTTGGAGTATTGTCTAATTTTAATGTCCTAATCTAAAGAAGGATATACTTACTGAAGAGCCAGTACGGTAGAAGTTCACTGTGAGATAGCAAAATTCTTTTATGAGTAGACATTGAAGAAACTGAGTCTATACTCCCTAAAGTTTAAAAAATGAATTCTTACAGGGTGGATGAAAGTAGGTTGTTTCACCTGGTTGGTGAGTCTAGAACCAGAAGACAAATCTCAGAATAAAGGGCTAGGCCATTTAAGGCTGAGATGAAGATGAATCTTTGGAATTCTCTATCTCTGAGGACTGTAGAAACTCGATCATTGAGTAGGAAGAAATCACTAGATTTCTGGTGACTAATTACATCAAGGAAAATTGTGATAGAATGGGAAAGTGTGTTGAAGCAGAAGACCAGTCAGCATCTGATTGACTGGTGTTTACAAGTTCGAGGTTGAATGACTTCCTCATGTTTGTCGGTTTCTGTAATTAAGTTTTCCCAACGTGTAAAGCAGTGAGTTTGGCTTCCTGGGCTACGGAAACAGTTGGTCACCGACCTGATGAGGAAGAAATCATTGAGTTTTCCATGACTACTGTTAAAATGTGTTAGCAAAGGGAGACTGCTTACCCAGACTTGCTTCCCCTAGCAACAGAAGCAGCTCCATCTGTGTTTGAAAGTCTCAAGAATCAACTGTTCAACTTTCTGCCCTTGATGCCCTGGATTCTCATCGGGCTCAGCACCACTGATAGATAGATCCTTGATAAGCAAGGAGGGGAAAGGTTACAGGGGTAGGCAGGAATGTGAAGTGATCAGAATTGGTGCGATCTTACTGAATGAAGGAGCAGTATCAAAGGGCTGAGTGGCCTAGTTCTGCTACTAAGTCATATATTTGAGTGTTGAAATGACTTAAAGGCTATTTGGCAGCCTGCAGAAGCCTTCCTGAGGAATTTAGGTAAGGCCAGCATTTGTTGTCCATTGCTGATTGCTGTTGAGATGATGGTGAGATACTGTACTGGTAATTGAGATACTGTACTGGTAATTGAGTAGTTTGTATTTCAGGGTACAGTTAAGAGTCAACCACATCACTGAGAATCTGGAGTCACATGTAGGCCAGTCCAGAAAAGGATGGCAGATTTCCTTCCTTAAAGGACATTAGTGCTCCAGATGAGCTTTTATAGCAATGAATGATAATTTCACAGTCACCATCACTGAAACTAGCTTTACATTCCAGATTCATTTAATTTTTTTAATTAAAATAAATTCTCCAGCTGCCATGGTGAAATTTGAACGTGAGTCCAGAACATTTGCTCAGTCCTTTGGGTTACTAATGCAGTTACAGACCAATTATAGTATGGCTCCTGATAAGCTGAGGTTTTTCAGCAACTAATCAGAAGTATCTGACCACAATCACTTGTTTCTCTGTGGTCTGCCACATCTGTCCGTTATATCCTGCAACTTGCCATAAGCAATACTTCAGGAAGTGAAGTATCTGTAGGCACTAAGCAGCATCCCAGGCTGTAAAGCTCCAGGAAATCTTAAAATTTGCTATAAAAAGCCAGAGTCTATTATGTAAAATGTCCAACTTTGCAAAACATCCCTTTTTTCACTTCTCTGTAATTGCCTTCTTGCCTCCATGCCCCACTAACCCTACGGTGAGACTGGGCTTTCCCTTTAATTTCCAAGTTAGAAGGTTCACTCTTCCACTGATCCCAAATTGATGGAATCATGAAACAGTACAGCACAAAAAAGAGGTCATTCATCCCATTGCATCCAAGCTGGCTCTTTTGACATGTGGCAATCCGGTTAGTCCCACTCCCTGACTCTTTTCCCCATATCCCTGTAACTTTTCTAATTTATTTTGAAAGCCACTGTTCAATGCAGGAATGGGTTCTCGCTTTGCAATCTCCTCTCTATCCACTGCATCTCCCTGGATAGACTTGTTCCAAAATAAGCACCAAATTCCACATAGACTCAGGTAACAGAGATTAGAGTGAAGGGACGACCCTTTAGAACTGAGATGAGGAGGAATTTCTTCAGCCAGAGGGTGGTGAATCTGTGGAACTCATTGCTGCAGAGGGCTGTGGAAGCCAAGTCATTGAGTGTATTTAAGACAGAGATAGATAGGTTCTTCTTTGGCAAGGGACTCAAGGGTTATGGGAAGAAGGGCTGAGAACAGTGTTGAGAAACATATCAGCCATGATCCAATGGCAGAACAGACTCAATGGGCTGAATGGCCAAATTCTGCTTTTTTTATTGTCTTTTATCTTATGGTTCTCTGGGATAGAGAGACCCTGGTCATGCCTTCACTTGACCGTTGGAGGCAGAGTAGGAAAATCCTAATTTCCAGGGCCCAGTGCCTTTTTATTCAGCTGTTGTACTGGAATACCTTCTGAAATTCCCACCAGTTGGTGATCAAGTGAACTTAGTAAGGTTTCAGTTACTGCAAAGATTTTCATGTCACCTACTTATCGTCTTAGCATCAGTCACGCTGAGAATCTTTGTACAATTGACACAAGTATCATTTTCACAAAGCAGTTTCATTTAGGCTATAATAAGTTGGTAGAATTCCCAGAGCAGGACTGAAAAACATGAGCATAATTTCCCCCTCTGGAATCCACAGCCATGTTCCTGGAAGTCCCAACAAGGTCAATGAGTGTAATCAGAATAAAGTACAATGAGAATTCTGAGGATGTCAATTCCCATACTTGCTTGCGCTCGCACTGTCAAAATTCTGCTTACTGTGAAAATGTCAGTCAGCAGCTCCATGGAAACAGAGGACACTCAATCAGTGCAGCAGTTTTTATTCATGGCAGTGGGGTTACATGGGAAGATAACGGGCATAATTTATTTTAGATACTAAATTGCACACAATCAGTATGAACAGCTGTTTCTAGGAGATGGACGAGATTCCATCTTGCCACCAACTCATCATAGCTGCAGTCACTTGCTTGTTTAAAGAGTGTGTCATGAAGGAGGAGGGCATTAAACTGATTATATCTGTGCTAATTCTTTGAAAGTTCTTAACTAATTAGTCCCAGTCCACCTTTACTTGCCCAAAAGCTTTGCAAGCTTTTTCGTCCTGTTTCAAGTATTTATCTAATTCTCTTGTGAAAGTTATTATTTAACCTACTTCCTCTGTCCTTTCATTTAATGCTTCTCAGAGCTTAGCAGCTATTTACATATCTCTGGCTGTTCCATTTATCTTAAATGTATGTGCTCTAGTTATTGAACCCGCTGCCACTGGGTTCTCCCTCGTCATTCCCGTCAATCTCCTCCATTCTGGGAATAGCAATGACATCTTCTATTGTCTCTCTGTGCAACTAAAGTTCTTTAACACTAGCACCATTTTAGTAAATCTTCTCTGCTTCCTCTCCATTGCCTTGACATCCTTTCTGGGAGCGATGCTGCAATTCAGTTCCAAACAGTGATTTATTGAATCATAGAATGCTTACGGCATAGAAGGAGGCCATTCAGCCTGTCACACCTAAGCCATTATTTGCAAGAGCAGCTCTCTGAGTCCCACTCCCCACTTTTTCCCCTTTTTTTCTCTTTGGATAATGATCTAATTCTCTTTTGAGAGCCATGACTGAATCTGCTACCAACACCACCAACACACTTCCAGCATGTTCCAGACCCTAACCTCTCATTGTGCAAATGGTTTCTTTCATGTCACCGTTGCTTTTTGTTTTGCCACTTACCTTAAATCTGTTCCCTCTTGTTGTAGACCCTTCCACTAATGGGAATGGTTTCTACTATGTGTCCAGATCCCTCATGGTTTTGAAATCACATCTACCACATCTCCTCTCAAGCTTCTTTTCTCCCTGGAAAACAGCTCTTACTTCTCCAATCTATCTATGTAACTGAAATTCCTCAGCTCTGAACTTTATAGTTTTTGCACTCCTTAATTCTTTTACCTCTTTCCTAAAGTTTAGTGCCTTGATTGAGTGCAGTGCTCTGGTTGAGGCTGGCCTGGTATTTGAACAAGGTTAGCCTTACTTACTCTTACACTCACTTCCTCTGTTTATAAAATCCAGGATCACGTATGCTTCTCGACATAGAAAATTTCTGTTCTGCGTTTGCATAAAGTTAAAGCTTGGCCTTAAAGTAAATAGTGAAGTCGAAGTTGTTTGTGTGCATCCAGAGTAGTAGAATATGGGGGAGAGGTGGCAAATGTCATGTTTCAGTGATACAAAGCTCTGGTTCAACCATACTGGAGGCACTGGACACAGCTCTGGGAATTATGCTTTAGGAAGGTGATATTGGCCTTGGAGAGAGTGCAGCATAATCAGAATGATACCAAGACTTGGGAGTTAAATTCCACAAAAAGATTGTGCACTTTAGGTCTGGTGGTATCTGTGGAGAGAGAAACAGAGTTACATTTTGAGCCCAATGAGCTGCTAATGTTCATTTATTTCAAACTATGACCAGCAAAGCACTTTAGACTACATAACTTCACAAGTTTCATCTTTTATTTTTAAAATGAGGCTCCTTGCCTCACATGGTGTGTGTTTTCCCCACAGAAACTGTAAACATGACCAGTTGCACTGACTGACGGGTGGCAGGGTACTTGCGTGGGACGTTTGTGTCTAAAGGTGGAACATGTCAAATAGGCTTGATGTCATAAGGCATTGACTTGCACAGCTCACTGAACGCAGCACTGTAAACGTATCACTGTGTTGTCAGGATTCAGGAAGTAGATTCGTGTGTTCCTCTTTCTCAGTTGTTTCAAACCTGCAATTTCTTTAACGTAATCCTTTCCCAGCTGGGAGCGACCTCATGTCATGTACGGCCAGCTGCTGGATTGGCTGCGTTACTTGGTTGCTTGGCAACCTGTGATCATCGGACTGGTTCAAGGCATCAACTACAGTCTGGGACTGGAATAAGCTCTCCCATTCTTTTTTCCTCTCCTCCCACCCCTCCTCTGCGGCCTTCATTCCCCCTCCCCACTCTCACTCCACCCCTCTGACTCCAGTTTTGTGGAATCCACTATTCGGAATGTTTCATTACTTTCAGTTGAAAGGCTGCATCCACAAAAGTAGGAGGAGGAGAGAATGAAGGACGTCCCCACCCCAAACCCAGTGGGACATGGGGCTATTGGCTCATGGATTAGTGAGTTTCCACAGAGTAATTTTTCCCTGTTTCCCTCCAAAAGAGAATGAAGATTCAAATTATAGCAATTCTCGTACCTGTTTTCCAACCCACAGCCCCACATCTGGCTGGAATCGACAACTGCTGTTCCTCCATGAAAGGCTCAAGGAGCTGAATGGTCTGCTTCTTTTCCCACCTAACCTGTTTTCAAGGGGCTGAATGGCTGCCTTTAGTTCCTAATGTGGTGACTGCAAAGATCTTGAATTGTGAGTTTGAGAGGTGTTTTGTTTCTTGCCTCCCAATACCCAGCCTGGCCAGTGGTCCTGAAATTCTGCATTCCTCTCTAAGTGGTTTCAGTGGTTACTTGCTGCGTGCAGAACCAGGGTCGGACGAGCCAGTTAGCGCAAGCCAGGCCTGCTCCTATGAATGCAACTTAATCTTCATAAACAAACATTCAACCTTTTAGAGGGTGGAGTTCAAGGGGTAGACTACTATAATGCTGAGGCAGTTATTACAGAAACTGAGGCTATAATATTGGAGCAGCAATTACAGGAACTGGTTCTGTAACATGGGGGCAGCCATTACAGGAACTGGGTCTGTAATGTCAGGGGCGGGTGGAGGGCAACCATCACAGGAATTAGGTTTAGATTTATATTGGAGTCAGATTGAACATTATTCCTAGTTTTCCTGAGAAGATTCACTAGGGAATGAAGTAAAATAATTCCCAGAGCTGAGGAAATTTACTGAAGAGTGAGCACCATTCAGCTGATGTTGTTTTCTGCTGTACTAAAATATTGCCTTAAAGTTAGGGGGGAGGGGGAGTAAGAAAGAGCCTTTAGGATGGAACTAAAAACTGAAGTGGGTATGGGTTGACAACAGCAGGGTCAAAGATTTCAAGGGGAATATGTTAAAATCCATCCTTTTTATACTAGAAATATATTTAAAAAATACCCTATTTTTACACTCTGATCTTTTATATTGGATTGTATGGGGGTTAGTCAGCAATGCACTGGATTGCAAGTTCACCCCTTCCCCTAGCCCAGGATCACTGCACCAATATGGAAATGGCCAGTGGATATATTTGATCACATTTTGTAGTCCTCTGGGCAGATACAGAGAAATGGGTGAGTTTATGTCAGCTCATCTGCCCTCTAGTCCTTTCTAAAGTTGTTGGGTGACCACCCTGCCAGGGTATGTGAAAATAATACTGTTTTGTTCCTTGTTGTGAGGAATGAAGTGGGTTCCTCCATGGAAAGCACTCTGCAGTGTAGTGTCAACCCAAACGGCTAAATGATGGCCGGTCTCCCCTGAATTGAGTGACCTTGGGTTGCAATAAAGGTTGTTGGGGCCCCGTGTCTGTCAAAAAGGAAGAAGGCAGCGAGGTATCAGCTTCTCTTCATTGTCCAGTTACCAGCCCCTTGCACCCCAGCCCTCCCCACTATAAAGCCTGTGTTTTTGGGGGAGAGGATCTTAGGTGGCATTCACATGAAGTACAATCACCAGACTGAGTACCTGAGCTCTGTACTTACCTGGGGAATCTACTCCTGACCTTACAAGAAAGGCTGGGAGGTGCATGGAGAAGGGGCAGAACTGGAGGAGGAAGAGAGTTGGAGAAAAGTCATTGATGGTGAACAATTCTCTAACTCTTTGGTTTGGCAAGAAATGGCTGTGTTCACTAATTGGCAGCAGTCACTGAGATTGCTTTCCGACCCTGTCCACTGATTGGTATTAGAACGATATTTGGTATTTCATCTGGTCATTTATTGGCCAGTGTTCAGTTGGGACCACCAACAAGGTGAAAAAAAATTATTTCAGTCAACATTGGCTGTATTGTTTGCTCTTCTTCCCTTTCTCCCTTAGACCCTGCCACCTCAGTAAGCTGGTTTGGTCAGTATTGTCACTGATAAAACAGGCTGCCATTTCTTTGGTGTTCTGGATCTGTTTAAAAAAAAAGGTGCAATTCATATCAATAAACGGTGTACAGGTTACGATCTGACTGGGCTTTCGAGTCGATGCATCTAAATAGAAACTGTAAGATCTCGTGAATTGAAGAGATCGGGAAATGCACAGTGGATCAGTTGACATCTGGAAGAGAGAAGAGGAGTTCGTATTTCAGGTAGGGATATTCTGTCATCGCACCATGAACAGAGGAACTAGAAAATAAAGTGTGTGGAGTCAGAGGGCAGGTGTCAGAACAGATTGTTCACCGGCTTCGAGACACAAAATCGAGTGGGATAAAGAGAAGGTATTCAGAGTAGCAGGAGGTGGGAAGTAGCCTTCCATGAGGATCAGTGCTAGGACCATTGCAGCTCACTATATACATTAGCATTTAGACTATGGAATCAAAAACATAGTTTCCATATCTGCACTTAATACCAAGTAATACTTTTATTTGTTCCTGAGACAGGGGTGTCACTAACTAGGCCTGCATTTACTGCCTATCCCTAATTTGCCCTGGGGAAGGTGTTGGTGAGCTGCATACTTGAACTACTGCAGCCCATTTAATGTTGGCACACTCACAGTGTTGCAGGTTGGGGGGCGGTGGGTTCAGGATTTTAAGTCATTGGAACTGAAGGAATAGTGCTATATTTTAAAATCAGGACGGTGAGTGCCTTGGAGGGCTACTTGCAGGTGGTGGTGTTCCGATGTAAATGCTGTCTTTGTCGTAGGTAGGACGGTGTGCGTTTGGAAGTTGTTGTCTAAGGAGCCTTGGTGAATTTCTGCAGTGATTTTGTAAATGGTACATACTGCTAACACTGTGTCATAGTGCAGGGAGTGAATGTTAAATTTGGTGGAGGAGTACCAGTCAAGTGGACTGATTTGTTCTGGATAGTGTTGAGTTTTTTGAGAGTTTTTGGAAGTGTACTCATCCAGGCAAGTGGAGAGCATTCCGTCACATTACTGATTTGTGTCTTCTAGATGGTGGACAGGCTTTGGAAGGTCATGTGGTGAGTTACTCATTACAGGATACCCAATCTTTGACATGTCTTGTAACCACAATATTTATATGGATAGTCTAGTTTAGTTTCTGGTCAATGGTAACCTCCAGGATGTCAGTATTGGGGAATTCAGTGATGGTAATGCTATTGAAAGTTAGGGGCAAAGGTTAGATTCTGTCTTGTTGAAGATGGTCATTGATTGCCACTTATGTGGCATGCTTGTTATTTGCCATTTGTCAGCCCAAGCCTGGATATTGTCCAGGTCTTGCTGCATTCCGACATGGACTGCTTCAATATTGCGGAATTTCAAATGATGCTGAGCTGTACATTCAGCGGCAAACATCACTTCTGACCTTTTGATGGAGAGAAGGTCTTTGATGAGGCAACTGAAGATTGTTGGGCCTAGGGCATTGCCCTGAGGAACTCCTGCAGAGATGTCCTGGAGCTGAAATGACTGACCTCCAACAACCATGGCCATCTTCCTTTGTACTAGGTGCGAATCCAACCAATGGAAAGATGTCCCCAATTCCCATTGATTCTGGTTTTGCTAAGATTCCTTGATGTCAAACACCATCTCATGCTGTCTTGATGTTAACAGCAGTTACTCTTGCTCTGCAGTGCTGATCTCAATTCTGCCACACCTAATCATGAATAATAGTAGTAATTAAACAACTAACAAGAAACAGAGTCTCCACAAATATCCCCATCCTCACTTTTGGAGGAGCCTAGCACATCAGTAGAAAAACTAAAACATTCACAACAGTCTTCAGAAATGTGCTAAATGGATGATCAGTCTCGACTTCTTCTAGAGGATCTCAACATCACATTTGCCAGTTTTCAAATAATTTGATTCACTCCATGTGATACCAAGAAATGGTTGGAGGCACTGAATACTGCAATGACTGCATGCCTTGATAACATTCCTGGAGATTTAAGTTTGATAGAGATTGATTTATTGTTTCACATGTATAAAAATACAGTGAAAAGTGTTGTTTTGCATCCTGTACAGGCAGATCGTACCATACAAGTTGCACCAGTGTGGCAGAACAGAGTGCAGTATTACAAAGAGAAAGATCAGATTTAACGTTTGAGACGTCCATTCAGAAGTCTGATAACAGCAGGGAAGAAGGTGTTCTTGAATCTTTCCGTACTTGTATTAAACTTCTACATCTTCTGCCTGATGGAAGAGAGTATAACTGGGGTGGGAGGGGTCTTTGATTATGCTGGTTGCTTTCCCAAGGCAGCGGGAAGTATAGATGGAGTCAGTGGTGGAAGGCTGGTGTGCATGATGGACTGTGCTGGGTTCATGAATCTCTGTAGTTTCTTGCAATCTTATTGATTAGAGCTCCACCTTCAACACCATAATTCCAAACAAACTCATCTCTAAACTCCGAGACCTAGGTCTTGGCTCCCCCTCTGTAACTGGATCCTCGATTTTCTGACCCATAGACTGCAATCAGTAAGAATAGGTGACACCTCCTCCTTCACCATAATGCTCAGCACCAACGCCCTGCAAAGCTGTGGACTGGGCCCCCTATTATATTCCTTATACACTCAACAACTGTACCATGCTGTGATGCAAGCAGCTAGGATGCTTTCTTTGGTGCATCTATAAAAATTGGGAAAAGTCCTTGGAGACATGTTGAATTTCTTTTGCCTCCTGAGGAAGTAGAGATGTTGTGCTTTCTTGACCCTTGCATCACTGTAGGTGGACCAGGGCAGATTGTTGTTGATTATCAATTCCAGGATTTTGATGCTCTTGGCCATGTCCACCTCAGTATCACTGATGCAGACAGGGGCATGCCCTCCAATCCGCTTCCTGAAATCAATGACCAGCTCCTTGTTTTGTCGATGTTGATAGAGAGATTGTTGACTTTACACCATGCCGCTAAGCACTGAATCACTTTCCTGTATTCTGTCTCGTTGTTTGAGATCTGGCCTACAACAGTGATGTCATCAGCAAACTTGTAAATGGAATTGGGGCGAAATTTGGCCACACAGTTGTTGAGTGTATAAGGAATATAATAGGGGGCCCAGTCCACAGCTTTGCAGGGCGTTGGTGCTGAGCATTATGGTGAAGGAGGAGGTGTCACCTGTTCTTACTGATTGCGGTCTATGGGTCAGAAAGTCAAGAATCCAGTTACAGAGGGGGAGCCAAGACCTAGGTCGCGGAGTTTAGAGATGAGTTTGTTTGGAATTATGGTGTTGAAGGTGGAGTTCTAATCAATAAGTAGAAGTTTGGTGTAGGTATGCTTGTTATCCAGATGTTCCAGAAATGAGCGTAGGGCCAGGAAGATTGTGTCTGCCGTGAACCTGTTGCTCTGGTAGGAGAATTGCAAAGGATCAAGACACTTTGGTAGGCTGCGGTTGACGTGAGCCATAACTAACCTCAAAGCCCTTCATGATTATAGAGGTCAGAGCCACCAGGCGGTAGTCATTGAGACACCGCATGATTTTTCTTTGTCACCAGGACGGTAGTAGTCTTCTTAAAGCAAGTGGGGACTTCAGATCATAGCAAAAAGAGGTTGAAGATGTCTACAAATACTCCTGGCGGCTGATCCGCACAGGATGCAGTCCATTCGGTGAACTGAAAAACCCTCCGGTTGTAAGGCACAGTCAGGTGGAGCAGGAGTGAGCCATGTTTCTGTAAAACAGCACACAGCAATCTCTCAACTCCCTTTAGAAAATGAGTCTATCTTTAAGTTCATCCATCTTGTTTACCATGGCTTGGGCATTTGCCAGGAGTATGCTGGGGAGGGGTGGGGGAGAGACTTGAAACCCCAAAATTTCAATCTCACCTGAAGTCCAGTGCGTCTCCCACATTTCCTGGGTAGGTAGCTGCTCCTAGTAGATCCCGGATGTCAGTGAGGGATGTCTGTTGCTCCAAGAGATCCTGGGAACCAATCATGGCCTTGAGCATTCCAAAGAGTATTGTGGTTGGTGTGGTCGGGCCTCCTCAATTGAAGGTCACCTTGTGATTTGTTCCCGCACAGTTCTGAGGAAGAGTCACTCGACCTAAAACACTAACTCCGATTTCTCTCCACAGATGTTGCATAACCTGTTAAGTTGTCCATAGAAACATAGCAGATAGGAGCAGGAGAAGGCCATTTGGCCCTTTGAGCCTTTTCTACCATTCTTCACAATCATGGCTGATTGCCCAACTCAATAGCGTAATCCTACTTTTTCTCCATAAACTTTGATCGTGTTCGCCTCAAGTGCTATATCTAGTTGCCTCTTCAATGTTTTGGCATCAACTACTTCCTGTTGTAATGAATTCCACAGGCTTACCACTCTTTGGGTGAAGAAATGTCTCCTCATCTCCATCCTAAATCATCTATCCTGAATCCCTCATACTTTGACCCCTGGTCCTGGACACACCCACCATTGGGAGCATCCTCCCTGCATCTACCCTGTCCAGTCCTGTTAGAATTTTGTAAGTCTCTATGAGATTCCCCCCTCATTTGTCTGAACTCTAGAGAAAACAATCCCAATCTACGCAATCTCTCCTCATGTCAGTCCCTCTATCCCCTGAATCAGCCTGGTAAACCTTCACTGCACTCCCTTGAGAACAAGCACATCCTTCCTCAGAAAAGTAGACCAAAATTGCATACAATATTCCAGGTGTGGTCTCATCAAGGCCCTGTGTAACTGCAACAACACATCCCTGCTCCTGTACTCAACCTCTCGCAATGAAGGCCAACATACCATTTAGCTCCTTTACCACCTGCTGCACCTGCATGCTTACCTTCAGCAACTGGTGCACAAGGACACCCAGGACCCACTGCACACTCCCCTCTCCCAATTTACAGCATTCAGGTAGTAATCTGCCTTCTTGTTTTTGCTTCTGAAGTGAACAACTTCACATTTATCCAAATTATACTGCATCTACCATTGATTTGCCCACTCACCCAACATCTCCAGATCATGCTGTAGGATCTCTGCATCCTTGTCACAGTTCACCCTCCCACCCAACTTGGTATCATCTGGAAACTTGGAGATGTTCCATTTTGTTCCCTTATCCAAATCATTAATATGCATTGTGAATAGTTGGTGTCCC